GCCGCCATCGCCGCCACCGCCGTCGCCGCCGTCGCCCTCGCCGCCGCCGCCCTCGCCGCCGCCCTCGCCTCCGCCACCATCACCACCACCTCCGTCTCCACCCCCGCCATCGACCCCGCCCCCCAGTCTGCCGCCACCGTCACCACTGCCACTAAGCCCGCCACCACCGAGCCCGCCACCACCGTCACCACCACCGCCCTCCTCGCCGCCGCCCTCCCCTCCGTCGCCGTCATCACCGCTACCGTCGCCGCCGCCCTCCTCGCCGCCGCCCACACCAACCTCTCCGTTGCAACCCTCGCCTCCGCCGCCCTCTCCGCCGCTACCCTCCCCCCCACCTTCCTCTCCCCCACGAGCACCACCGCCGTCGCCACCGCCGTTGAGCTGCGGTGATGTGCACGGTCGTATCGAGGTGCTGAGTGGGAAATGCGACAGCGGCGCGCCCTCAGATGACTGTTCATCCTACTACTACAAGATGAAAAGGACCGGCAAATTCAAGCTCTGCTGGGGACCAGCGCCAGGAGGACCAGGCTGCTCCGGCACCACAGTCAAAGGCTGCCTTCCCCCCCCGTCCCTGCCACCGCCCTCGCTTCCGCCCTCCCTCCCGCCCTTCTCCCCTCCCGCCGCCTGCTCCGATCTGGAGAAAAGGACGGTCATCAACCAATGCAGCAAGGCAACGCCCGAAACCTGCAACCAAAGGTACAAAATCAGAGCCGATACGATCTTTGAGTTTGGGATCTGCTACTACGACCAAGCCGGAGACCGATGCAGAAGCACAACGATCGTCTGCGCGCCTCCATCGCTGCCAATCGCACCGCCACCGCCGTTGCAACCGCTTTCGCCTCCCCCACCGCCACCTCCCAGCCCGCCCTCACCTCCACCGCCCTCACAACCGTCGCCGTCGCCGCCACCCTCGCCGCCACCCTCGCCGCCACCCTCGTCGCCGCCATCGCCGCTTCCGCCTTCGCCGCCTCCTTTGCTTCCGCCGCCAAGCCCACCACCACCGAGCCCACAACCCCCCTCGCCGTTTCCGTCGTCGCCTCCGGCGCCCTTGCCTCCTCGACCATCACCCCCGCCGCCGAGCCCGCCCACGCCCTCACCACCGCCGCCCGCGCCTCCTCCGCCTTTGCCACCGCCGCCCTCGCCGCCACTACCCTCACCGCCGCCCTCGCCACCGCCGTCACCACCGCCGCTGCCGCCTCCCTCACCGCCGCCCTCGTCTCCTCCGCCTTTGCTGCCGCCACCCTCGCCGCCGCCGCCCACACCACCGCCACCCTCGCCGCCGCCGCCCTCGCCGCCGCCACCTTCGCCGCCGCCGCCCTCGCCACCACCGTCGCCACCACCCTCACCGCCGCCGACCTCGCCGCCACCGTTGCCTCCACCTTCACCGTCGCCGCTCCCGCCTCCCTCACCGCCGCCCTCGCCTCCTCCTCCCTCGCAACCGCCGCCCTCCCCGCCGCCGCCCTCTGCACCATTGGCATGCAGCAGCTTTGTTGGGCGCTCGAACCTCCATGACTGCTGCGGCAGCGGGTGCGACTGCGGTGCGCAGGTGTCTCCTACATGGTGTCAAAATGTCCCGAAAGGGGACTGCGAGTCTCTCTACGTGCTGAAGCCCGATGGCAGAGCGCGACTGTGCCACGAACCCGTTGACAGCGGCGAGAACAACTGCGGGCGCTCAAGCCTATTTGAGTGTTCAGACACAATTGTGCTTGCTCCATCTGCACCTCCATTCGCGCCATCACCCTCTCTGCCACCTTCGCCCCCTCCAATGTCGCCACCACTCTAGCCACCGCCTCCGAACCCGCCCCCTCCCTCGCCTTCGCCCTCGCCGCCTCCGA